ATTGGTGGATAAATATCTGCCCCCTACTCCTTCCCATTGCTGGTTGTTTGTTGTACATTAATTGTTTTGTTATTGAATTGCATCCGGATCAGGGTTGCCATTCTTGGGGAAAGTTTTTCAAGAAATGGCCCAATTATGACTGAGTCGTTTTAAAAGATGAAATCAATTTTTTTGATTCAAATATTAAAAATTACTTTTTTTAGGATCTTATCCTCTGTCACCAAGCATAGACCCCTTTTGGCCCCTTTTATAAATTTTTGCGAAGAATTGGCAGTACTGTCTTTTCATCTCTATTGTCATCCCCATTATTGACATCGTCATAAGCCTCGATAATGTTCTTCTTCCCAGAGATATGCATAAGTGTCTCTAAAATTCACTTGTTGTTCTCCACCACTGTTTGCATTGGTGTGTGTGTGTGTGAGGGCGTGTGGGGTGTGTGTTCGCCTCTGCTATCCTTTTGAAGCACTTTCATTATCATTTAATTTCATTCATTCACATCGTTTAGTTTCTAATGGAAATTTTTCAAAGTGATTGACCTGAATTAGTAGATGTTCTTCTGCTTCGATATCGACATGAAAAACAACAACAACAACAGCAACAACGAACAGCCGACAACGACAATTAAATTGAATTTCCTCAAATACTGGCAGACTAACTGCCAGCACGTTTCTTATGAGTGAAAAAAATCTTTATACAATACTCGCACACACATACACATACACATCGACACTTGTCTAAGTTTACTTTTGTGTATTTATTTGTTCATCCACTACCTCTCCCCTTTGTTGATGTGCTGTCTCTCCTTTGCCAGCCTGTCTCTCATTTCCTTCGACACAAAGGTCTTATCGAAATCAACTGCTACTTAGTTCTGTTGACAAATGACAAGATTTATGTTTACATTTTGAAAGGCAGAACTCAAAAGGATAATTAAACAACAATGCAACAATACACAGGATATTTTGCCAATGCCAATGCATTCGGGCGTTAGACGACTGAAGACTTAGGACAAAGTAGTCATTGTGTCATTGCATTCGAGAGAGGGCCTATTAAGACCATGGCATAGTTCAGCATGGTTTAGTTGGAAGAGATAGCATTTTATCCATTACTAAATGAAAAATTCAACTGTGTTTCAAATTAAAAGGGTCTGTAATGAATTAAATGTTAATTTAGGACATCAGACATTTAATTAAAATTTGGAAATTTATAGAAAAATATAAATTAATGGGAGGTTGGATGAAATTAATTTGCAGATGAAATAAGTTAAAATTATTTATTAATAGAAATAATAATGATAATAGGAATAATAAAAAGTAAAAAAGTATCGGTCGGGTTTGCCTACAGATGTATACCCTCAGCCAATTTTCGATTATTTTAAAATAATCGGATTATCGTTTCTCTTTCTGTGCAAAGAATATATATTTTTGAAAATTTCGACCATTTTTTACCAGAAGGAGTGGACGATATATTCCATCTTAACACCAGACTTCAGGTTAATATAACCATTGGGATGTGAAAAATTTGAACATAATCGGAATCTTGCATCACACTTTATGAGAGTAGTAATTATTCAAAATGTTGACCATTTGTGGGGGAGATACTTGATGGAGTGAACCGATATTGCCCATTTTCTCGCCTGACCTAGCACTAGTGCAAACGTGAGGATTTGCAAAGTTGGAGCAAAATCGGATTATCCTTTCTCTTTCTGTGCATTAAAATATTTTTTTTTGAAAATGTGACCTTTTGTGTTGGAGGTACCAGAAGGAGTGCTCCGATATTGACCATCTCCGAGCTCGATCTAAGTTTGATAATAATATTACGATGTACCAAGTTGCCGTGCACATTAGCCAACCAGGGAGACAGACTACAAATGTCCTGAAACGGATTGGTGCAAAAAGACCTAGGGTCTTAAACCGTTTTTTGGTGTGGCACGTTTTGGTCGTATCAAATACCCCATGCACCCATATGGCTGAGGTATAAAAAAGAAGACACGTATGTCGGCGTTTAAAAGTTTCCATTGCAAAGTATCCTAAAACCTCTGGAGCGTTTCCGCACACAGAAGATCTTTTGACTATATCCTATACTTGAATGACATTCTTCATGTTACCTATGTGTGGAACTCCCTTTGGACCTTTTTTTGACATAAAAAATCTTATTAGGGCCCTTCAATACCTTGAAAACCTTTTGGAGTCAGAAGACTCTGACTCTCTTTCATACCTAAAATATCTAACCTAGAACATTTCATGAGGCTTTTTATACCTGGAATGCGTTTGGAGGGAACACCTTTTGGAGGTCGGCTATAAGTAGAGATTTTGTAGAGAGGACCTCTTTTATGAGACTTTCTAGGGATCTTTATTCTTAGAAGTGTTTTTGGGAGACCTTCTATGTTTAGAAACCCTTCGAAAATCTTGTTTGCTTTGAAGGGATGTTGGAGGCATTCTATACCCAACAGATTTTTTGAGAATTTTTAGGAGTCCCTCTACACTTAGAAGAAATTTTTCGTTTTATGTCTAATAGATATTTTGGAGGTTTTTAATACTGGGGTTACCTATTCATAATCGTCTTTACCCATACGTTTGTAGATTTTTTTAAACTGAAGAAATCTTTTGGAGGTCATCTTTGTCTACAAACATTTTTAGGAGGTACTCTTTACCTAAGAGACCTTTTACAGAACTTTTTAAACCTCCCCCCCTTTAAGGTCATCTATACCTATACGAGATTTTAGATAACTTCTAAAGCAAGAAGACCTTCCGAAGTCCTTTAATGTATGTGAGGGTTTATTTAACTATTCTATATCTAGAATACGTCTCAAGGACTTCAATATCTAGAAAATCTTTCGAAGCCTTCAATACCTTGGAGACCTTTGCTACCCAGAACTACTTTTAGAGTTCGTAAATTCCTCTAAGAACAGAAGTCTTTGTAGGTTTCCTTTACCTAAACACATATAAAAAGTCCTCTATAAAGCGGTTCAAACTTTGTTTCTGTAGAAAGAAATAATCAATTATCAATTCTTTGGATTGATTTTTTATAGAAAACATTTACTAGTACAACTGTCTAATTGTTTCTATATAAATATAGAAAAAATACCTCTGTCCTGATCGATTTTTTTTTCTATAGAAAAATATACCTCTGTCCTGAGGACCGATTTTTTTTCTATAGAAAAAATGCCTCTGTCCTGAGGACCGATTTTTTTCTATAGAAAAAATGCCTCTGTCCTGAGGACCGATGTTTTTCTATAGAAAAAAATGCCTCTGTCCTGAGGACCAATTTTTTTCTATAGAAAAAAATGCCTCTGTCCTGAGGACCAATTTTTTTCTATAGAAAAAAATGCCTCTGTCCTGTGGACCAATTTTTTTCTATAAAAAAATGCTAAAGGACTGAGGATCATTTTTTCTATTGAAAAAAATGTCTCAAGACTGAGGCTCGATTTTTTCTATAGAAAAAAAATGCCTCAGGACTCGTAAGATCTCAGTGTCAAGACAAAGAAACCCTGGTTCTCAGACATTATAATTTTCTATAGGAAAAAGAATGCCTCAGTTCTGAGGATCAATTTTTTTCTATAGAAAAAAAAATGCCTCAGTTCTGAGGATCAATTTTTTTCTATAGAAAAAAAATGCTTCAGTTCTGAGGATCAATTTTTTTCTATAGAGAAAAAATGCCTCAGTTCTGAGGATACATTTTTTTCTATAGAGAAAAAATGCCTCAGTTCTGAGGATACATTTTTTTCTATAGAAAAAAAATGCCTCAGTTCTGAAGATCAATTTTTTTCTATAGAAAAAAATGCCTCAGTTCTGAGGATCAGTTTTTTTCTATAGAAAAAAATGGCTCAGTTCTGAGGATCAATTTTTTCTATAGAAAAAAAAATGCCTCAGTTCTGAGGATCAATTTTTTTCTATAGAAAAAAAATGCTTCAGTTCTGAGGATCAATTTTTTTCTATAGAAAAAAAAAATGCCTCAGTTCTGAGGATCAATTTTTTTTATAGAAAAAAAATGCCTCAGTTCTGAGGATCAAATTTTTTCTATAGAAAAAAAATGCTTCAGTTCTGAGGATCAATTTTTTTCTATAGAAAAAAAAATGCCTCAGTTCTGAGGATCAATTTTTTCTATAGAAAAAAATGCCTCAGTTCTGAGGATCAAATTTTTTCTATAGAAAAAAATGCCTCAGTTCTGAGGATCAATTTTTTTTTATAGAAAAAAAAACGCCTCAGTTCTGAGAATCAATTTTTTTCTATGGAAAAAAATGCCTCTGTCCTGAGCACCGATTTTTTTCTAAAAAAAATGCCTCTGTCCTGAGGACCAATTTTTTTCTATAGAAAAAAATGCCACTGTCCTGAGGATCGATTTTTTTCTGTAAAATATGCCCCTGCCCTGGTGATCGATTTTTTTCTATTAAAAAATGCTAAAGGACGGAGGATCATTTTTTCTATTGAAAAAAATGTCTCAAGACTGAAGCTCGATTTTTTCTACAGAAAAAAATGCTTCAGGACTCGAAAGATCTCAGTGTCAAGACAAAGAAACCCTGGTTCTCAGACATTATAATTTTCTATAGAAAAAAATGATTTTTGCCAAAAAATGATTTTTGCCTCAATCCGGAGTATCGATTTTTTTCAATAGAAAAAATGCCTGAGTCTGAGTCTGAGAACCTGGGTTTCTTTGTCTTGGCACTGAGATCTAACGAAAAAACACTGAGATCTAACGAAAAAATATATCTCAGTCATTAGAACCATTTTTTCTATAGAAAATATGAAACTGTAATGAGGTTTAATTTTTCCTACAGAAAAAAAAAAATACCAGTGCAGAGGAGATATTGTTTTTGAAAAACACGCAAACACATTCTAAAAGTTCTCAATGAAGTTCATAGATATATAGCAAATCTTGTGTGAACCACTGTCCGCATACAATTAAATTTTTTATAATATATAAATTTTAATAAATATTTCTCTTAAATCCCATTCTTGAGCCACCATTAATTTGATTAACTTTCTCCTTCCGTTTCGTTTCAGCTTAAATGAATCATCATGCATTTCGATGTTTAGTCGAATGCAAAAGAACCAATGTTAACTTTAGGATATCCTTAACGCACCAAATAAAAAAGGAACTACAAAAAAGTATTAAGAATTACACACACACACACAATCTCTCTCTTTCACTCTCTCGCACACACACACAAAGATACACTCCAGCACACACAAAGAGAAGCATTAGAAGAGTATCCTAAAAAAAAAAAACAACCAACAGAAATAAAAACAACGGCTTCAATAAATTTTTTAATTAAATTTAAGGAAGCATAGAAGCAATAAGGCAATTTTTAGCTTAAGACCAAAAGACTTAAACAAATTTAGGTGAGTGAAGGCAACGTAGGAAAAATTTTAATAATTCTCTTTTAATTTGCTTTTAAACATTTCTCTAATTTCGGGCATCCTTTCGTTACTTTTGCAGAATGTCTTGTACAGTATCGGAACTGCCATCAGGATGCCGTTTGCGCGGCATGAGTTCATCATCACAAAGTGCTGCCAATGCCGGTAGTGGTTCAGGTGCTGGCAGTGGTGGCAATGGTTCCGGTGGTGGTGGTGGCGGCGTAGGCGGTGGTGGAGGAGGTGGTGGCGGGGGCAATGGCCGCAACGTTGTCTCCGATGTCAACACCGGCGGCATTCACATAGGCGGCATTTTGAGCACAACAAACACAATGGGAACAACGACAACAAGTGGGGCCCTGACGGACGGCACCACGCCACTGCAGCGCCAACAGCAACAGTCACAGAAACCCTGTTGTTTTTGCTGGTGTTGCTGCTGTTCGTGTTCATGGGCGAAATGGTAAGTAATTGTCATTATTTTTTTTTTTTGTTTTTGTGGTGGGACGGGGGTTGGATTTATTTCCTTGTTGTTTTGATGAAAGATTTATGATTTCAAGGCATTTCAATTGAACAAGGCAGAATAACCAAAATTTTTAAGATTTTCAATATTTTATGAATTTATATTTGAAATCCTATAATTGCGATACTTCTAAAATGTTTTAGTTAATGAGAAGGTTATAAAATATTATTGCATTAGAGATTGTATATTTTCCTTCAATAGAAGACAAAACTATCCTCTTACAGAAAACTAGAGAGATTTCTTTTAGAAAGCCAAATTGTAGAAGGCAAATAGGATGTATCACAAAAGATCTTAAGGTCTCAACGTAGAAGCCCAGAACATTTTAGAACGCCAGACGTTCTATTCATGGGACCGGAATAATATCTTGTAGAAGATGCAAAACGACTCTCAATTAGAAGGCCTTCTGGTATTGACTTCGAAGACCAGTAAGTATAGAAGAGAAGAACGTCTTCTGATTTAATGAGGGAAGATTCAAATTGGAATATCTTCTGTTTGAAAATCGAACGATTTTTTTTGTAGGAAAGTTCTTCTGATTGTCTTCTGTTTAAATCCCGAAATTTTGTCTTATGGAATACCAGAAGGAATTGAACATCATATTTTTTTTATTAAAGAAGGAGAAGGACATCCCATACAAGACAAGAAGACCTTCTCATATTCCGGAAAAGACAAAGAGGACCTCCCATACAAGACCTGAAGCTCTTTCAACTGAAGTTAAAACGTTATTTTTTATTGAAAATTAGACGTGGTTCTCAATAAAGCCCATAAATTTTCACATTAAACACCTAAAGGTTTTCCCAGTAAAGTTATTAACAGAGATGGGCAGCAGATCTTCCCAGAGATGGTCTTCTTATCCGAACAGAACTGAAGGTTTTCCCAGAGTAAGTTAAATTAGAGAAGTTATCCCAAAGAAGGCCTAAAGGGTATTCTCAGACAGAGCCCCAGGGTCTTCTCAGTGAAGGGCAGTGTGTCTTTTTTTAAGAAAAAGACAGAGAGCTTTCTTAGGAAAGGTCAGAAAGACTTCTCAGAAAAAACACATAAATTCTCCTCAAAGAAGGCAAGAGGAAACCTTACTTAGAGAAAGCCAGAAGATCTTCTCGAAATAGAGAAGGATTGTCCACTTAGAAAAGATCTAGACAAGAAAAAATATGGTTTTTTCACCACAAAGGCCACAAAGTCTCGTCCAAGAAGACCATAAGACCTTAGAAAAATCAAGAAAGTCCTCTTGGAAGAGGCCGGAAAACCTTCTCAGAAATTCAGTTGCTCTTCACAGGCAATCTAGGATCCATACTCAGAGAAGGCCAGGTGTTTTTCTCAGAACTGACCTGAGAATATTTTCAGAGAAGGACAGAGTATTTTCCCAGAAAATCCCATATTGTCTCAAAAACTTCTCGGAGAAGGCTTTTCTCAGAAATTCCTTGATTGTCACCTCAGAAAAGTCTAGAAATTCTCCGCAAAAATATCTGAGGAGAGACTTTCAGAGAATACCAAAGGATTTGCTCAGAGAAGTGCGGAATATCAGAATTCTTCTCAGAGCAGACCTGAGAATGTTCCCAGAGAAGGTCAAAAGACATTTTTGGGCGCCTTCAGAAGGTCTTCTTAGAAAAGATGACACTAAAGGTCTTCTCAGAGAAAGACAGAAGGTATTGTAAGAGAAAGCCAGACGCTCTTCTTAGAAAGGCTATAAGGTCTTCTCAGAAAAGGCCAGAAAGGAAATTAGACCTTCTTAGACAAATCTAAAAGTTTTTTTAAAGATAGCCAGAAGGTCTTCTCAGAAGAAGCTAAATTCTCTTCTCAAATAGGGCCACGCGTTCTCTCAGAGAAATCCTGATGTATTCCTCAGGCAGGCTACAGCATCATTTTTAAGGAGGTCTGAGAAGACTTTCAGAGCTGACCTGAGAATCTTCTCAGAAAAGTCCAGAAATTCTCCTCAAAGAAGGTTAGAGGGCAGTCTTAAGTCTTCCTTAAGAAGACGATAAGATATTTCAAAGAATACCAGAGGGTCTGTTCAGAGATGTCCGTAATATATTCTCAGTGAAATTAGGAATTATTCTCAGATCAGATCTGAGAGTGTTCCCAGAGAAGGTCAGAGGATCTTTTTAGAGAAGGTAAACGGTATCATTAGTGGGTGTCAGAAGGTTTCTTCAGTAAAGAAGGCACTCAAGGTCTTCTCCGAGAAGGACAGAAGGTATTCTCAGAAAAAGCCAAACGCTCTGCTCTCTTCTTTTCAAATAAGGTACCTTCTCCAGAAAGTTTGCTTAAAGATGGCAAGAGGGTATTCTCAGAAGAAGCCAGAAACCCGTCTCAAAAAGTGCCTCGGGTTCTAGAAGTGCCTCAGAGAAATCTAGATGAACTTGTCAGGTAGCTTACAGGATTGTTTAACCGAAGGCCAGATGGCATTTTCGGAGCTGACCTGAGAGTCTTCTCAGAAAAGTCCAGAAATTCTCCTCAAAGAAGGTGGGAGGGCCTTCTTAGATAAATCCAAAAGAGTCTTCTTGAAGAAGGCCGAAGGGTCTGTTTAAAGAATAACAAAAAGGTCTGCTGAGAGAAGTACTGAAGATATTCTGGCAGGAATTCTTCCCAGAACAGACATAAGAGTGTTCTCAGAGAAGGCGATAGTCTTCCCGCAGAAGGCCAGAGGATCTTCTCACAAAAAGCCAAAAGGTATTCTCATAGGAAGTCATCTCGGGAAAAACAGAAAGTCGGTTTAGACCGCACCAGCAGGTCTTTTCAGAAAAGCCCAGGAGGTGTTATCAAAGAAAGCTAGATGCTCCCCTTAGAGAGTCTATCTTCTCAATAAAGCTCTCAAACTATTCATAGAAAAGGCCAGAAAGACTTATGAAAGAAAGCCAGAGAATCGTCTCAAAGAAGCTCCGAGGGACAAAAAGTCTTTTCAAACAAAGCTCTTTCAAAAGATTTCTTTTTGGAGAAGACCAGAAGGTCTTCTCGTAGAAATCCAGAATTCAGAACTTAGTAGCCCTTAGTAGATTAGCATTCAGAAATTAGTATCCCAATAATAATTTTTTCAGATAGAAGCCTGTTTTATAGATAGTGGCCTGTAGGCCGTAGTTAGGCCATCTTTGCATTGAAGAAATTCTATAAATAAAATACTTTGCGATCTTATTATGTTACAATAGTTAAAATTACATTTTTTTGTAACTGATCCTTTAAACATTCTCCATTTATTGCCACTCCAATAAAAAAGCAACAATTAAATGTCAATGACTTTATTCCACCATTTCCTTTTAACATCCCCCAACATAAAGCACAGCTGTAATTCTGCCCTTCTACCAGACATTTTAAACGGTTTTTGTTACAGCTTTATTAAAGCAAATATGGCTAGCAGACAATAAATAGGAGTGCGACTGCGAATGGGGGAGTATGAGTGTGCGTGCGTGTGTGTGTCTCTCTTTTAAAATGTTAATTATACGCCAGCAGTGACTTCTGTTTTATTTTATGGCCCACATCTACTATTTCTTTGTCTTTTTCTACCCATTTTCGATAGACTATATGACTATATGAGTGCGTGTGTGTGTGTGAATGTATTTTTTTTTTGCCCAGCGTAATGTGTCAGCCATCATCTCCTACATTTGACTATGACGATGTTGATGATGGGGCTTTCGCCAAAAATGTCGGGGTACTCTGCCCATGTGTAAGTGTTTGGGCCATTAATGTATTTCCATTAGTTTCATTTCTATGTTACTCTTCGCCCTCTCCCTGCTCCTTTTCATACTTCCCCCACTTTATTTCTTTCTTTTTTTTGGCATTTTCCAAAGCAAAACAATTAAATTAGGTACTAAAATACAAATTACCTTTCAAGTGTAAAAACTGCTACAACAATCATCGGCAATGAACTCAAAAAACAACAACAACAACATCGAGAGTAGCAACAACAATACCAGGACCACTGGCAAATTGCTTAAATAATAGAAAACATGCAACACCACTCAACAATCATATTTCGCTTTTGCCCAGCCGCTTAAGGTGAGCGCGTGAGGGTGTGCGTGAGTGCGTGCACGAGTGAGTACTTGAGAACATTTTCGTAGAGAGAGAGAGAGAGTTGGATGGCACAGTGCGAGAGTTGTTGCGGCTTGCGTGTAGCAGTCTTGAAATGTTTGTGCCAAACACACCGAGTGCCAATGAAAAGTTGTAGACAAGTCAAACATTTGATAATTTATTGAATTCATCAAAAATTTCCAAACACAAAAGTGTTTGGATCGATCTTTTAAATTAAAAAAAAAACAACAGGTTGGAAAGTATGACCGTTAAGAATTTTATATTCCTAAAAGGTGTTAAAAGTAAAAATATTATATTTAATTTGGGAAATTAAATAAAATTCAAATACTCTCTAAAATCTTAACAAAAATATTTTAAAACAAGTAAAAAAGTATCAGTCGGTTTTGACGACAGATAAATACCTTCAGCCAATGTTCGATTATTTAAATATATTTTGACGTCCGTTATGATAATACAAATTGATGACCCTCTATGGAGTAGGTTCCGTAGGAATAGGCCAATATTGTCTATTTCGTATCGTACCTAAATTAATATGGTATAAACAATGCGGCATGGCAGATTTAGACTATATTGGTTATTTCCCTCACTTTACATCACATATGTGGTAATTTTTAGAAAATGTTAAAATTGTCGACCGAAGTTTTCCATTTTCATACTTCATGTAATGAGGATAAAAATATTGGTATTGGCAAAATTGCAAGACAATTGGACATTTATATCCAATTTTATGCAAAATCATAAATTCCATATTATTCTCAGGTTTCTTGTGAAGATACATATATATTTAGATATAGCGAATTGTAAAGAATCGCTGACTTGTTTCGCAAGTTGTATCAGATAAAAGTATCGAAAATTGTAACCCTTTGTGAGTGAGGTATCAGAAGCGGTTCGCAGATATATATCATCTTCACAACAGATCTTGTGCA